GAGATTTGATTTAACTGAAAAAGAGGTTTCCAGTAGCTGTAGCTGTGTGGGAGAGGGGAAGAATAGAGAGACTTGTGCCAGAGAAACTAACCCAGATACTATTTCTCTAAGCCAGATGGTGAGCTACAGCAATGTGTCACAGGAATGATTGCGGGGGTGGGGCGGCATTTGAGAGATATGGACAAGGTAAAAGTCATCATGCCCATGATGACCAATATGGAAAGGTGGAAGGATTATAGGAATCTGAGTGCAGGCCTCCAGATTCATAGCTTGAGAAGTGGTTAGTTAGCTATGGCTTTGATAAAGCTTTAAAAAGAGTTGGATTGGGGCTACAAAGAGCTTGTATTTATGATGTCCCTGGAGCACCCTAATTTTGAACACATTAAATTTGGGATGACATTGGAGTATTTAGAAATCAGGTTTGTATCTCAGAATAAACATTATTATAGTACCCAAGAGTACATTCTAGAAAATGTGCAAGATGAAGGAATGGTGGTAGATGGCATCACCCTGGGAAATGTGCACAAAACCTATAGGGAGCTTGGTTAGGGATAGGACAATGAGGAGGAGCTGGGGTTTAGACAGCTTTTGCATCACTGTGACCCAACAAGAACAATTTACAAAAGTAAAAAGTTATTTTGGCTCATAGTCCCAAAGATTCAGCCTATGGTTGGTCAACTCTATGGCTCTAGGTCCAAGGTAAGGCAGAACATCATGGCAGAAAGGCTTGGTGATGGAAGCAGAGAGAGAGCTCCACTCATCAGCAGCAACGTATAAACCCCAAAGGCATGCCCCATGACCTACTTCCTCTAGCCACACCCTACTTGCCCAGTTACTACCCAGTTAATCCATTCAAGTGGAACACTCCACTGATTAGATTATAGCTTTCAGAATCTAATCCTTTCTCCTCTGAATATTTTTGCATTGTCTCACACATGAGCTTTGGGGAGACACCTCATAACCCAAACCATAACACTCTATCAAAAGAAAAAAAAAAAGGCTCATCAGAGACCCTTAGGACAGTGTTGTCCCAGATAACATATTCTGTTGGACACAGTTCCTTGGTGGGAAGCCTGCATGACCCCAGCCTTCACCATTTCTCTGTCCAATCCTCCTTTAGATTTAGGATCAGTAATGGCATCCCATTGTTACTATTCCATGGATAACTCTCTGTCCTTTTGGTTCCTGTAACCCTGTCAATGCCTCCTGCTTTCATTCAGTCTGACTTTGTGGAGTTTACCATCTATTTTTTTTTTGGGGGGGGGGCCTGGATCCTGATTAATGAGGATCTTCTCTCATCCCCACCTCATTCTTTCTTTACGAGTCACTGTAAGTAAGAACTTCCAGCTGCCTCTCAGTATTCATTCTGATCTTTGTCCTCAGTGACAGAACTGTGGGCCATGTGGTTTTGTGGGGAAAAAAACAACGGTGTTTAAGAAACTGCATTTTTCAGCCTCCTTTGCTTCTGCATGTGGCCATGTCACTGAGTTCTTGTCATATAAACAGATTGGACATGTGGAACTTTCAGGAGGGGAGCTCCAGTCACCTGGGGTGGCCTTGGGAATGGAAACCACATAGAGAAACAGGGCCATCACCACTGTTGGCTGCACAGATCCACCGTATCAGCACTAGACGGGTTTATTAAGTCTCGCTGTAACAGAAATGGGCTGGTATAGGGATTTGGAGGGAGAGAAGTGAGGAATTTGAAGAGGAGACAGAGTGAATGGGGAGACACCTCCCTTCTGAAGCTGGGAAAGGAAGAATGTTCTTGTAAGTGCAAGAAGGGAAGTGTAGGGGAACTGAGGACTGGTTTGTGTAGGAGATGTGCTCAGCTGAGAAGGAGGAAGGAGAATTAGTTGCAGAAACAAGAAAGATTGTAATGAGGAACTTGAAGATAGACAATGAAAAACACAAAAGGAATTTGACTAGGACTAAAGAAAAGAAGTGCAGAGCTGGTTCTTTTACATAGAAAACATCAGAAAATACTCCTCTCCCCTAAAAAAAAAAAAATCTTTTTATTATATCACTACATATGATTGTTTCAAAAACCCTACTTTTTTGGGAAATTTTCTAATTGTACGATAGCATAATTCAGGATGATACAATGTGGTAATGTGGCAATCTATAAGTCATTTGATCCATGTTGTTAGATAATTCAAATTATTCAGTACCAAAGGGATTGTTTTTGTAGTAAAAGATATAACTACATAATCACTAAGCCTTTTATTCACATAGAGCTATAAAAGGGGTCTGTAAACAACTACTATTAGTATAACACAAACCCCATTTTGGTCACATGGAATCCAAAACCAGGATAAATTTTAACTGCCTTTGAGTGTAGACACATTCTTCTTCTTATTTGTGTTTTCCATTAGAAGGTAGTAAGTCCAAGGCTTGTCATTGTTGTGCACTTTCAGACTGGCAGCTATAAGTAGCTGGGGTTAATTGTGACCTTTATGTTATTTGAAGATATTCAAAATTTTTATTCTTATTATTAGAGGATAAGATGTGCTTGGTTTACCTCATATCAAATAAGAATATTCATTCTTAAATGACACCCATCCTTAGAGACTTTAGAGCAAAACCTTTCATAATATTTAGCTATTTTTAAATGTCAGGTGCAGTTGAATTTATTGCATTGCCAGCCTGGGCCATCAGCAAAAGTCTCCTGTTTTTAGTGCTACTTAACAGATTGTCAGTAAATTGATAGCATTTCCACATTTGGAAAATTTCCAATCTCCTCATGGCAAAGGAGGGCAGGTGTTTTCCTCTGACTTGGTGAAGGTTTCTTTTTCAGCATTTGGTTGATTGAAAGGAGATGGGTGAACTAAGAAGAGATATTGGGGAGGGTGGGAATATATATATATTTTTTTTTTCTCATCAACTAGGATCCTATGAAAAGATCAGCTCACCCATAAAATCTTGCTGAATCTTAGCAGATGGCAAATCTACAGCAGGAATATTTTTTAATAGTTTCTTTTTAGTTGTAGATGAACACAATACTTTTATTTTGTTTATTTATTTTTATGTGGTGCTGAGGATTGAACCCAGTGCCCCACACATGTGAGGCAACACTCCACTGCTAAGCCACAACCGCATCTCTCAGTAGGAATATTTTAGACATTGAAGGGTATATATGGAATAAGTCTTAAGTCTTAAGCATGTGAGTTTTGATGTTGCTTTTTTTGTTGTTTTTTTGTTTTGTTTTGTTTTGTTTTGGTACTAGGGATTGAACCCAGGAGCTATATGCCACTGAGCTACATCCTCAGCCCTTTTTATATTTTATTTTGAGACAGAGCCTCATGAAGTTCCTGAGGCTAGTCTCAAACTTAGCTGATCTTAGCCTTTTGGGTTGCTGAGATTACAAGGTGTGCACCACAGCACCAGATTTACGCATGTGAATTTTTAGAAGCTACCACTTACATGTGTTGGACACACTGATTAAAACTACCTGTAACCTGTAGGACTGGTTAGAGAGGGTGGTTTGGGTGCGTGGAGAGGGTGCTGCTTCGAGTTGGAAGGCATGAATTTCATTACTGGCCCTTGCTGCTTATGAGTTTCTGACCTTCAGCAAATTACATAACCATTTCCAACCTTGATTTTCTTACACATGAACTACCCACCACGCCCCCACTCCTCCAGCATAAATGGTCTTGAAGATTAATTTCTATGATAATGTCTAGGAATGCGCCTTGGACTCTAGAAAGCTTGATGTATTTAAGGCAATTTCACTCTTAGAAGGAGGCCCCTAGAATTTTCTCCTAGATGATACTTTGGTATTTTTATTTGAATAACTATATGCATCTTTTTTTTTTAAAGAGAGAGTGAGAGAGGAGAGAGAGAGAGAGAATTTTTAATATTTATTTTTTAGTTCTCGGCGGACACAACATCTTTGTTGGTATGTGGTGCTGAGGATCGAAACCCGGGCCGCACGCATGCCAGGCGAGCGCACTACCACTTGAGCCACATCCCCAGCCCCATAACTATATGCATCTTGAAGTAATAAATCTAACATTGACCTGTGGGAATGAGATGATCTATGGATTCCTCTCAACAATTTGAGGGTCTCCAGGGCAGTACATCCTCTGGATGAACCAGCATCCTCTGGTTCTGCATCCACACATTGAAATAACCTCAGGCAGAAAATACTTAGGGAGAATTTTTTTTTACTATCCTGAGCATGCACAGATTTTTACCTTGTCATTGTTTCCTGAAAGTACAGTATAAAAACTACTTTCAGAGCATTTACATCATACTGGGTATTATAAGTAATCCAGAGATGATTTAAAGTACACAGGAAGAAATTCAGGTTATTTTGTAGGCAAACATTATACCATTTTATATAAGGGACTTGAGCATCTGCAGATTTTGCTATCTGCTGGGGACTCCTGGAACTAATCTCTTTTGTATTCTGAAGGGGCCACTGTATGGACAAAAGTTAAGTGAAAGGACATCGAGCCAGACAGTGCCCAGTATGGCTTTGTCAAGACATTGTGCCTCAGTTGCACTTGATAAAATAGGGATAAAATATTATTGACCTTATAGTATTGCTGTGAGGATTAAATGGAGGAAATAATACATGCAACATGAATGATTTTAAGTACTCAGCAGGATTTTAAGCAGTTTCTTAGTGGTAGTTTGAAATCAAGCTTTGCATCAATTTAGACAAATTGATCTCCCTCCTCTCAATTTGTGGATTTTATTCTGTTTCACTTTGGGAAGCAAACTTAAAAAAAAAAATTAAACAGTGTCTGCCATTATACCATTTGTAGCTCTTGGAATTTCTGCAATTAGCTCCAATGCCATCTTCCTTTTTTCATTTAAATCGTTCTATTTTAAGGTTTGTATAAAAAAAAAAAAAGAGTTGCTATCCTCAAAGAAAAATCCAACAGTTGAATGACACATGAAATAAAGTTAAATTGAATTATAATAAACATCCACTGAATCTTGCTTAATTAACCTCTCTTTGTTCTTTTCCTCTTTTTTTTTTCCCCCCTTAGTTCTCACCTGAAGTTTAATAATCTCACCCTGATTTCAACTCATGGACTCCCAGGGAAAAAACTTCTGGGCAATGAACAAAGAAAGTTTCTGGCAACCAAGTATGAATCCTATTTGATTTTTCATTCTAAGGCCTAACTGTAATCCGTGCATAGTCTTTTCTATGGTATCTAATAGATTTCAGATTGGAAAGGGAAAAGTGAAAGACTTTTCTCCTAGTGTTCAGCATTACTTAAGAAATACAAATTCAAACCTATTACCGAGAGAATGGTCCAGAGTGGCAGTTTGGGGCCACCATTTTGTATCTGTGAGAAGCCAGTTGCCCTATTCCAACAACAGGGGTGGCGTCCATGGACCCAGCCACCCCTACAGGGTCAATGGAGCTTGATGACTATGCTTGCATCTGACAGGGCTTGGGTCTCATGCCCACTCCACCATTTGTAATTAGGTGCTGACTGGGCACCTTCAATGCTGGTCTCGGCAAGCTCTATTGTTTTCATCCCCATAGGATCATTATTTGACAACATCTGTTCTAGAAAATACTGTTCCATTATCACACAGCTTCCACTAATTTTAATTTTCTATAGCAAAACATTAGTACAAAAATATTAGGATTCCTGCCTCTAGAAACAATCTCCCAATTTTTTTTTTTTTTTTTTTAGTGAAGAGTTAAGGAAATTGTTCCTCTCAGGGGACCAGTTCATTTCAGAATCTATGATGAAAGGACCCTCTTTCCTCTTTCCTCAAAACTTGCTTTGCCTTCAAACAGTGAAGAAAAACCATAGATTCTTGGCCAGCAGAATAAGGCTCATTTTGAACTAATACCTTTACCAGACTCTAAACTTTGATATATATATTTTTTTCTTTCTTGGAAGATTGCCATTACAGAGCAGTAAAGGACACAGGATTTGAGCCAGGAGGATGTGGATTCCGATCCTGCCCTTACTACTAAGGGTCTGAGTGAAGGATTTCACTTCTTTGAGCTTAGGTTCTTTTAATTGTGAAAAGCATATGATTAAGATGTGCTGCCTGGAATTTTTGTTTAAAAATTCTGGCCAAGAATAGAGAATCGATACAATGGACATCCTCTTTTCCTCCATCACACCTTCCCTCTTTCTAAACTACATGATTCCCAGAAAATGCTAGTGTTATTGATGTCTTAAGAAGAGGTTTTTTTTTTCCTGATATTTTCTTTTTTTTTTTTCCACCTGGCTTATTTGTTTTATTTTTAACAAAATATAATTAATTGTATGATTACATAATTTAAGTTTCAATAATGTCTACACTTAACAAATATTTAACAAAATCCCTGAAAACTGAGCAATTGGGTCTTAGGCACCATTATGAACTAGCTTCAGCACTACACTTCCTAGCTCAGGCTTTTACACAGAGCTCGAGTTCAAAGTCTCTTTGAAAGACCTTCTCTACCACTGCTACCCATAGAGTGCAAGGGAAGGTTTGGTGCAACCTGAGTACCTAGGTAGAAGTTGCTCATTTTGAAGATCCCTGTCTGATCCCTGCAGGATGGGTCTAAGACCCATACCCCAGATGTCCTAGCTTCTGTCCTTGCCTCTTTGCATTCTCAACACAGTCACCACAGCAACACTTCAAAAATGTGACTCAGATCATGTCAAGTCCTTACCGCCCAGAACTGCACTGTCCAAGAGAGCAGCTATTAGCCACATGGGGCTATTTAAATTTAAATTAGTTAAAATTAAATGAGATGAAAAAATTCAACTCCTCAATCACATTAACCACGTTTCAAGGGCTCAAAATAGCCACATATGGCAGTGGCTACCATACTAGCTTAGCTACAGAACATTTTCTTTATCTCAGAAAGTTCTAGAATGTTCTGAAACTAAAGTCTGTTGTTCCTATCTACTTCTCTGACATCATCTTTTACTTTTTACTCTTTTCTCTCCACACTAGCCCTATCAACAACTTTAATGTCCCTCAAACACAAGAAGCTAGTCCACCTTGGGGTCTTTGCTTTTTTTCTCTGAAATTTTACCTCTTCCATGAGGTCTACCCTGACAACCCCATTTGTTTGCAACCAACACTTCAAGTTACTCTAGTTCCCCTTACTCTGCACTATTTTATTTTGTTTTATTTTTAGTGCTACTGAAATCCTTCTGAATGTTATATAATTTGCATTTTAAAACTATGTTTTTTTTCTTTATATTCCAAATCGTTCAACTATAATGTAAATTCCACAAGGGCAGGAATTTTTGCCTTTTTGTTCACTAATATATCCCCTGTATCTGGGACAGTGCCTCACATATTGCAGGTGCTCAATACATGATGTGGAATACACCAATGTTGCCTCCAAAGAACTGCAGGCATTCCCTCAATCATAATAAGACAGGCACCAAACAGCTCCATCCCTCCATATGAGCCACTACATAATATCCTAACTCTTGGAAGCCAGTTAACAGGATGTTCCCTTCAAATGGTCCTCATACCAGAATAAAGGAAATTATCTTCTGATTATGGAGTTTAAAAACAACAAGGACAAACAACATCCATAAATTTAATCATTTAAATTCCTCATTCCGAATACTACTTTTGAACTTGTTCTTAGCCAATGTTTTGCTCCATTATAATGGTTATTATTTTTTTGCATAGCATTTTTGTGCCCAAGCCCCCTGCCCCACTCTGTCCACCACTGATGGAGGTGCAAATGACATGCCCAGAGCACAGCTGAAGGGAAGCAGCAGGAAAGCAGGAGAAACAGGAAGGAGGAGAAGCCACTAATTGGACAATCAACCGTGCATAATTGAAAGTTAATTGTAACAGTCCTTCTTCTAAGAATGTCACAATTAATACTCTCTGAAAACCTCTAAGGTTTTTTCCATTGCTGAATGTTCTGATTCCATGAGGTGCAGGTCTCCACTGACTCCTATTGGCTCCCCTGGAGTTGGCTTCTAATTGTGCACCTGGAGCTTTGGCTAAGTCTCCTGCCCACCAGGTCTGGGGGCACTGCAACATTGAACAAGCAGGCCACTCCTCATTTATGCCTTCTTCCAGAAATTTCCCCTTCTTGCATTTCTGCTTCCTGCTCCCCCTTCTCATTATCTGGCTCCAGAGTTTTCTATAAAGACAACCTTTCACATTTCTGCCCCTGTGGTGCATGAGATTGAACCCAGGGCCTTGTACATGCTAGGCAAGTGCTCTACCACTGAGCTACATTCTCAACCCCCTTTCATATTACTTTCAAGTCAGGGTCAAGCTCACTTGGGACAATGTGAAGTTTCACTGATGCACCTTTTTTGGTTTTTCTTTTCCAGAGAACCCTGGCAGGAGTATGTCTCTCATCACCAATCATAACCCTCCTGTGTTAGAATCCTAAGGCTTATTTACTTTGCATAGGAAATAATTTTGGAAAAAATTTTTTTTTGCTTATAGTTTCCCTTGTGGGGAAATTAAAGAAGGTCCAGATGGATAGTAATATCCACAATAGACAGCAATCCCTTACACTGTGAGATTTTAATATAAGAAATGTCATTCAAGTAGTAACAGACTGCAAAAGCAAGCAGCCCACATCCTTCAATGCTTCTTTTTGCATCTGAGTAAAGGTTCCTGAAAATCAGTGTTCGAGTACCAGGTCCCACTGGACAGAGCTTCGAATTTTAAGTCTGAAATATGCATTCTGACATTATCAACACTGCTGTCCTACCATCATTAAAAATAGTATTGTCTTAGCCTTTCACAAATTTCCCCTGAGAGCTTTTATCTTTGAGTAAATCCTCATAAGACTAATCCCTGGACACTAACTATGTTTAATTTTTCCTCATCTTGGACAGCTTACAGTAGAGATTGTATAACTAGAACAATCCTTTGTGGGTCTCTCATGAATGTACAAAACCAGTGAAGTCTCCTGTATTTCTGTAAAGCTATCAAAATGGCTTTTTAAAAGAATTTCAACTCCCTATCCATTATTTCCCTGTGACAGGCCTGCCCCTGATTTTCTTTTTATTATTATTATTATGATGATGATTTTTTTATTAAGGAGAAATTTTCTTGTTTTTAAGTGTTGTTTCACAGACAGATACAAAGCCCAGAGCTCCCATCTCTTTCTAGGGCTGTGTAACAGGGTCTAATGTGCATCCATTACTAGAATTCTCTTTGTGTGGTGAAACCAGACTCATGTATGGATCAAAAAGAAAAAAATGTTCTCCCATTACCACTTCAGAACCCTGTTTTCTTCCAAATAGAGTAAACAGGATTATGTGCCATTAATATTATTTCAAATAGTATCCTTCACATATGCATCCCACTTGACAAAATATCATCTCCTACATGCTCATGTTCATTCCTTACTGTGCATGGAGGGTGGGCTAAGTGCTCCATGTTGAGAGGTGAAGAAACTGGGGACACAGAGTTCCCAAAGTCCAGGCTCGTTGGCCGAAGAGCAGGGACTCAGACCTGGCATAGTTCTTTCTGGAAAAGATCATCTAGCCTAATTTTAGATGAAACACTATCCTGTCACCTGAGACTGTCCATCTTCAGAACAGGATTATTACAAAGGTCATTTACACAAGGTGAAACCTTTCAGAAAGTTCCAGAAACACCCCTCATAAAAGTCTTTAAATAAACCCAAAAGCTGTAAGAAACCCACTCTTGTCACATTAGAGGAGAGTGCCCAAACTCAACAAAACCCAGAAAATGAAAGTCCACAGTGCCACCAGTACGCTGCCCCAGCATTAACAGTCACCCTGGACCTGGTGTACTGACAAGTGCACCCAATATAAACCACCACTGCCCTGAAGAGTGAATCCCAAAAGTCTCCAGTGATTGTTCTTGCTGTGAATGTAATTCATTCCCTCATTGAAAATTTCTTTAAATAAAATGCGATTTGTTTTTTGACATGAAACCAAACATTAATTCTAAGAACAAGTCACTGACTGAAAAATATTAGCAAAATAGGAAAATAGCAAAAATAACACTCAATGATGTTACTTTCTTCTTCCTCATTCCTTTTGCAGAAGAAAGTGTACAAGTGATCTCTCTCTCTCTCTCTCTCTCTCTCTCTCTCTCTCTCTCTCTCTCTCTCTCACACTCATACACACACACACACACACACACCCTCTTTCCTTGTGGACTGGACTAAGCCAGGTGGAACAATTTAGTTTTAATGGGAAGATGTCAATTTGTGCCTAAGTGTTTCAAAACGAAAAATCTCCTAGCATCCATCCTGGTAAACTCACAGCAAGAGCACAGACTTGGCTCACTAGGGGACTCGAACCAGCTCACCAGATGTCTAATTAATGCCCGCTGTCAGCTGCTCAAATGTCACTTATGGAGCTTCTCTCTTTGCAGCCACTGTTTTAATGATAAAGATTATGCATTGATGTCACTGTGCTCCTGGGTTAATGTTGTGGTTGGTAGAATGACTGGCATAGACCGAGCAGCCAAGCACGTAATAGTTTCCAAGGACCAAATCGTGCTGTACGACCACCTCATCCTCTGTACCGGGCAGCAGTACCAGGTGAGGCTGTGCACATGGGATGTGTTTGGAGATCTCCACGGTTAATGTGTTTACTGGGGCACATGCTCTCTGGGTAAAGAGCATCCTTTCTTGCCCGGACAGCTGCCACTTTATTTTCATAAAAGCGCTCTTCAAGGCCCGCGCACATGACCAGAATTGTGTCCGCAAACCCTCCCAGAAACCCTTTCCAAGAAAAACATTCTGCTCCAGGATAAAAATCACAGCAAGTTGGAGAAATGTCATTCTTAAGCTGTTGTCCCAAAGTCTAACACTTAACGGCTCACCATAGCAGAATCCAGACACAACCAGGCACGCATTTGTGGTAAATTAATTTATGCCTCAAGAGGCTAACATTTGGCTGTGGCAATGCACTCACGCAAAAGTATTTCAAACATGCGCACCTTCTGTCAACCCTTATTTTATTTTGTCTCTCAGTTATAAAACTAGGAAATCAGATTGACTGCTTTCCCAGTGACCATGCTTCCCGTTTGATTAATCTCTCAAGCCACATTTGAATACGGCATTGCTAGATTCAACCGAAGCTGTTCATGTCTCAGGCAGCAGATTTCAATATTCCCACTTCTTGGTACACATTAGCATTTTCTGTGGCCCACAATACAGACTCTCTCCCATGAAAATACATTGTTTTATAACTCAAGGATGGGCTCTCAGTTAGACCATCTCATGCATGGTGGTGGATTCAATGCGTGTATGCTTTCTTTACTTTTCCCAAGCCAGGAGAAGAAGCAGGCAGGGTCTCAGTACTTGCGCTGTTACTGCATGTAGTGAGCAGTCACTTTAGCAATGTTCCCTGCTTTGTCTGCACATTGAGATCCCCTGGGGTGCTTTGAAAACACCTATCCCTAGGCGCTGCCTCTGGAAATTGTTTTAGTTATTTTGGTGGGCCTGTTTTTGTTGTTGTTGTTGTAGTACCCAGGGGTGCTTTACTACGGAGCTACATCCCTAGGACTTTTGGGGTTTTGTTTGAGATCCCATTTTGCTAAATTGCCAAGGTTGGTCTTGAACTTGTGATCCTCCTGCTTCAGCCTCCCAAATCACTGTGAATACAGGTGTGTGTCACTGTGCCCAGCTCCTGCGGTGTATTCTTAAGCTTCCCAGGTGATCATAAACTAAGGCAGAGAGTCACCAGCTGGAATTTTCTCAAGGTTGAATTCCTTCATCTTTATCTTAGAACAGCACTTGTCAAACTGCATGGTGCACACACAGAGCCTCAGAGCATCCTGTTAAAACCAAGATGCTGAGCCCTGGGGTGGGGTGGCAGAACCTGAGATAGTAGTTTCTAACAAGCTCCCTGGTGAGGCTGTTGCTGCTAGTGAATGGACTGCACTTTGAGGAGCTTGGGTGAATCTCTAAATAATTTACTTTTCTTTTTTTTTTTTTTTCTTTCTTTTTAAGAAGTCTCTTTCTCAAAGGATAAAAAAGAATGCTTTTTTTTTTTTTGGTTGAAGGATAAAAATGAACTGGAGAGATACCTCATTTTGATATTTAAGGATTCCTCAAACTTAAAAAAAAATAATAAACCAAAAGAAAACACCAGGCACCCCTTTCGCCTGTCCCCCCTCACCTGCCCCACGGGTTCCAGCTGCTGCTGGCGACTGCGTACTTTGGAAACTGAGCAGAGGACTGGGCCAGCTGTCCAGTGACTCGGGCATCTGCCCATGTGTGTCCAGCTGCCCCTACAGCTTTAGTTTGTGGCACATTAAGCTCTTGCCCTTTTTACAGTGGGAAAAATGAAATGAAGAAGTGATAAAGGGAGTTCCAATTTAATTTTTCCAGAAGGACATAAAAATCAAAGGTACATAGAGCAATACAGAAAGGGCAGCTGAATTCACTGGGGACCTTCTAGTTTTATTTCTTTTTCTATCTCCTTCTCTTTGATTCTCGCATGGTTTTTGTCCCAATTTTGTCAAACAAAATGATGAAAATAAAACCTAAACCCAAAGCAAGAAGACAATCTGTTATAAAATATGATTATGATCTTTCACCTCTAATTAGACCTTTGAAATTACATGCTTCACTGTAAAATATTCTGCAATATTTTTGATATGCAAATGCATATCACATAATCTTTTTATCAGAAAATCTGTGCTCAAGGTAAAATCTTTAATTGTATGGCATGGCTGAGAGTAAGGAGGGCTGTTCTCTTACTTCCAAGTCCTCTTTCTTGAGCTATACAGTCTGAAGCATTTCTGCTAGAATAAAGTGCTTTAGAATAAAGTCCTTTAGAATAAAGTGTTTACTACCATATTTCCAGGTACCATGTTTATAGAAGTTTTGTCCTTGATCTGCCAACTGCAAAGTTGCCATTATTCAAGGCCTCTCTGTTTTGAAAGATGATTGGGCATTTAGCTATCTCATTTTCAGTACCCTCTAACTTCCTTACCCACCCACTTCATCAGTTTTCACTGGTTTTTGAATGAATACATGCCACCTTTGAAAACCACTCTTTGAGATCACTTCCAAATGAGATCACATGACTCACAAATGGTTACTGAGAGATGGATAATACCTGCTCTGTGCCTGGACTTGGGTAATCTCATAAGGAAGAAGAACACAAATTTAACTCAAACTTAACACCAAAAACCAACCAAACAACAACGAATAACCCAATCAATAAATGGGCAAAATAACTGAACAGAAATGACCAACATAAATGACCAACAAATATATGAAAAAAAAAAGCTTCAAATCTCTAGCAATCAGGGAAATGCCCATCAAAACTACACTAGGATTTCCCCTTACTCCAGTCACAGTGACAATGATTAAGAATACAGACAATATGAATGCTGACAAAGATGTGGGGGGAAATGTGTACATATACACTGTGAGACCACAGACTATTATAACCACTCTGGCAAGCAATATGGAGATTCCTAAAACAAGTAGGGATGAAACCACCATATGACCTAGCTATTCCTCTCCTTGGTGTTTTCCAAAAACAAGTACTATCGATATACTATAGCAATATGGCCACCTCAATGTTTATAGCAGCACAATTCATGATAGCTAAATTATGGAATCAACCCACGTGCCCATCAATAGAAGAATGGATTAAGAAATTGTGAGCCAGGCGTGGTAGCACATGCCTGTAATCCCAGCAGCTTGGGAGGCTGAGGCAGGAGGATCATGAGTTCAAAGCCAGCCTCAGCAATATTGAGGCACTAAGCAACTCAATTAGACCCTGTCTCTAAATAAAATACAAAATACTCCAAATAACTGAGATTAAAAAAGAAAATTTAGAACTTTATAATAGTATAAGGATAGGTAGCAAGCACCACAAATGTAATTTAAATAATTTTTGTAAATCTGAAAATAACTATGAAATAGGAAATTATGACTCTCAACCTAAGTTTGTCTAATAGAGACCACGAACTTCCTGAAAATATGGGAAAAAAAAGTGTAAAGGGAGCAATATGAGTCATTTTAAGTAGGAAGTCCAAAGGAAATATATCAGGGTTGATCCATTATTATTTAGAGGAATTCGGTGACACACGCCTGTAATCCCAGAGGCTCTCCAGAGGCTGAGACAGGAGGTTTGCAAGTTCAAAGCCAGCCTCAGCAATAGTGAGGCACTAAGCAACTCAGTGAGACCCTGTCTCTAAATAAAATACAAAATAGGGGCTGAGGATGTGACTCAGTGGTCGAGTGCCCCTGAGCTCAATCCCCAGTACCTAGCCTCCGAAAAAAAAAAAAAAAAAAAGAACCATAAACGACTATGTCAGGCAAATCCACTCAGCTCTTAGAGCAGCGATATTAATACACAACAAAGTAAAATTGGAGACACAAAAGCAATTAACACTGACAAAGGTCAAAATTCATGGTGACAATATAGAGGTCACAAACCTATTATGGGCTGAACATGATTGTGTCAAAGGACAGGCCACAAAAACAAGGGTGTACACCTGGCTTACTCATTTAAGAAAAGGACAAGCTAAGGCATATACAGAAACTCAAATTCACCCCAGACGTTGAGTCACACAGATGAAAATTGGGGTGGCTAGGATGACCAGCTAGTCAGAACTAGTCTTGTACATCGTAACCCCAGGAAGCTGATTTAGGACAGGTCCACGGAAGCAATGGGAATATGATGCTTATTCACGCAAAGAAACAGCCTTCTAATGGTCTGGAAGTCTCTTCCACCAGGGAGTGGCCAGCCCCAGGAGACAGGAGCATGCTGTGCTGAGAGCCTTCATCAGAGCAATGAGAGTCCCGGATGGCAGTCGAGTGTCTTCTATGAAATGATCATGTGTTAGCTGATGTAACCTTCATGGTGACTCTAAGATGATTCCAAGAAAAATCACCTTGGAGTGAGTGTCATCTTCATTGTCACACTTCAGATTAGGGGACCACCTGTAATTTAGCAATTTGCCTGGGGGCTCTCTGCTGCAGGTGAACTTTCTGCCCATGATAGGTGCAGTAGTATTCCTGCCTAACGTTCCTGAGACCTCGCCACACGAATATGCAAGACGGCTGGTATAGATCCTCCAACAAAGACCTCAAGTTGCGGTTAAGTTTTGCATCCTGTGCCTTCTCTTTTACTCCTCTGTATAATTTGCACCTGGCAGCCAAATTGAAGGGGCAAAATAGTGGCCCATCGGGCAAATTCAGGCCATTGTGCTGATTCATTGGGCTTTCGGGATACTGATTGATTTTAATTTGAACTAAAGTAATAAGTCAAGAGTCCATGTAAAAACCTCAGTATTTGACATTCCTTGAACAATCAGATCTGGCCCTATTGGATCCATGCTCTTCCCTGGCAACAACTGGATGGAGCTGAGTCATAGCTGAACTCTGGCCAGGACACAGGCTCTCTAGTTTGTATCCCTGACGTGGGAGACAAGTGTCAGCCACCATCCTTTATTGGGGTCTCACTATTGCTTTTTTTACAGTAGAGGAAAGTTTCTGTTTCCACTCATGTCAGTGTCAAAAGCGAGAGAACAGAAGTTATGCAGGATTGAGTCTGTATAAATAGAGAGAAGGAAGATGGAGAGAGTAAGAAAGACAATTTCCCTGGGGAAAAAAATCCTGTAATTTTTTTCATGAGTAAATAAAAATCCACTTCCCTTTTTGTATTTTTCTGCCTAGCCCCTCTGTACACTTGAATCTTAGTACCTATTAAAATTGCTTCTGTGGCAGATAGACCAAGTCAAATTCAGTTCGACGTTGTCTTCCAGAGCCTTGCCACTCCTGCTTGAAGAAGTGGAGCCTTGGTTTTATCGTCTTGATCCTGATGTGTTAGCTTTTCGTCACAGTGAACAAAATACCTGTAGAACAATTTAAGGGAAGAAAAGTTTAATTTGGGCTCACAGTTTCGGAGGTCTCATTCTGTCCATGGTGGGCTGATTCCATTGCTGTGGGTCTGAACAACATGGTGGAAGGAGGTGGTAGATGAAAACTGCTCAGCCCATAGCAGCCAGGAAGCAAAGGGAGAGAAAGAAGAAGGGGTCCCGATCAAGATGTAGTCCCTCAAGGGTACACCCCCAGTGACCAACCATGGTTCTTCCAACCATGCCTTACCTGCCTATAGTTCTACCTCTTCACTCTAATCCATTCAGCATCAATGGATTAATCCACTGAGTCCTACCTCTGGTCATGATCCAAGCACTTCCCAAAAGCTCTACCTCTGACTACTTCCATGCATATGATGGTTGCCAACTTCCAGGACTGGTTAGAGAAGAATAAGGGGCTCTCTGTACGGCTTTTCTCTCTCAGGACACTTCCACCATATTAGCAGGAAGCTCAAGCTACAGGATCTCTCCACATGTGAGTGTTCCAGGTCTTAGACACCATCAACTTCTGAGTAGATAATGACCACTTATAGGTAGTTTTGAGTCCTCATATATTTTGTGGGAAAAGAAAAAGAACTGAGATACCTTCAAATGACTCCACCTTCTAGCCATCAAGTCACCCTCAGCCCTTGAGTCTGCCCATCTGAGGTTCTAAATGTTGTGGAACAGTTAAGCTGTCCCCTAACTTGCCCTATCTTAATTATTGGCCTAAGAATCCTTGAGCCTAATAAACAATTGTTTCTACCAATAAGTTTTGGAATAATTTATATTACATTAGACAGTGTTATGGTTTGGATGTGAGGTGTTCTCCAAAAGCTCAAGAGTGAGACATCACAAGAAGGTTTAGAAGAGAAAGGACTGGATTATGAGGCCTTGGCCCAGTCGGTGGATTGATTCCCTGATGGGATTAACAGAGTGATAGCTAAATGTGGGTTAGGTGTGGCTGGAGGAGGTGGGTCATTGAGAACATGCCTTTGAGTTATATATTTTGTATCTGGTAAGTAGAGTCCCTCTCTCTGCTGTCTCATCATTATGTGAGCTGCTTCCCTCTACCACACTCTGCTGCTGTCATATTCTGCTTCACCTCAAGCCCTGAGGAATGGAACTTGCTGCCCGTGGACTGAGACCTCTGAAACTGTGAGCCCCCAAATAAATTTTCCTCCTCTACAATTGTTCTTGCCTTGTCTTTCAGTCGCAGCAGCAAAACACCCAAATAAAACAGATAGCCAGAGTGATTCCTTCTGAGCATTGTCTCTAAATGGTCATTTGTCTATTATTTATTTGTTTTTCTCCCCTTTCAATTAAAAGCTAATTAATTATATCTGGGAACATAAAAGGACATATCTATATCAGACATTGCCAAGTGCACTTTATCATTATTATTGTAAAACTGTGTCAGATCTTCACGTCGTACCACTAAAATAAGCATTTCTCCTTCCACCTCAGGTCCCATGCCCTACCGGGGCCGACCCTGGGCAACACCTGACAAACAGAGAGGTTCCAGACAGCAGTCAACTGCAATACGCTGGGAAAGTTCCCAGCAACCATTTCATTCTCAACGAGGAGGAAGACTGCTTAAGTGCCCTGGTCTGGATAAGGAAGCAATACTTCCCCACCGAAGGTAAAGATATCAGTAGCCATGCATCTTTTCAGAACAGCGTTTTATTTTTATAATGAGTCTCATTCTTCATCTAGTTCCAGTATATAATTAGTGCCTAATTAATTCCAAGCAAATCATTCATCTGTCATGCTTTGTTTTCCAGATTAATTTACAACTTGTTGTCATTTTTGGAGACCCAGGCTGTTTGCTGGGGGAAAGAAAAAGGCTTGAGATAGTTTAATTATCTATAATTATTTTATTACACAAAATGAATATCCGAAGAGCAAAGCATGGCTAAAATCATTAACTAATTAAAGAATAATTTAATAAGCAAACATGTTTAGCAATTATATGGAAAATATGTCTCCTTTTGTGAAGCTGAAAAGACCAAAGAAGAAAAAGAAAGACTCACATTGGAAGGGCTCTTTTCTTCTTTTCACAAGCCATTGTTCTCTTTCTTGCTGTTGCCCGTGCTGTTCTTGCCACAAATCCACATATTCGAGTTGCATACCACTTTTTGAATCGAAGTGAGAAAGTAAAACATTTGTACAAATGCCTTCGCCACTCAAAAGCGTTTTCTCAAGCATCCTTCTCTCCATTGCTTGAATTTCATTGAAATTGTTTGACTCATAAAACCACCAGAACAGGGCTCAGCTACCCATGTGTCTCTAGTTGAAACCTGGAAGTCCAAGTTTGGAGATGATTTTGTGCATTCAGCCCCTTTGTTTTACCCAAGGCCAGGGAGAATTAATGATCTCGTAGAATGTGGCAACCTCCTATGGTGATAGCTGAAATTCTAATCCTCACCTTCAGTTCAGGCCAGGATATAAGGACCAGTAATTGCCCTGGAAGTGGGCATCAATGTGTAAGATTAAATGTGCACCTTTAAAATACATTTATGTAAATAAAATTTAATTACCTCCATTATTGTAATTAATACATTACAATATAGTTTCTCCTGATTTTTGTGGATGGTTTAAATCCACCAAAACTTTTTGCCAAATTAGAATATTTACCACATTAAAAAAGAGTTACTAGGCCCACACCAATTTGCGCAGGATCCAGGCCTAGGGTAGGTCTGAATTTGCCACCCACCCCCAACCTGGGAGCCCAAGCCTAACCCACTTCCATCTTAGGACACTGCAGACATCGTCAGAGCCTTCCCCATGCAGTAACCCCTACCTTTTTAACAGACAGGGCCTAGAAGAAGCTGCTTGTCAGAGCAGGCATCCCAAAGATAGTGTAAGGCCCACCCTTTCATCCCCATCTCTGTAAAACATTGCATCCATCTCGGGGCATCTCCACTATTATCGCAAGTTACCTTGAGTATTGCCGCCACCACCTTGAGCTGCAGTAGCATACATTGAGGGACACCAGCAGGGTTTGGAAGCCCAACATCAAGGTGAGGTACAGGCAATCTGCACAGGTACTACAAGAATATAGGATAGAAACTGTAATATCTCAGATACACACAGCAAGAAAGGAAGACACATAGACAACATGAAAAAACAAGGGAGGAAAGTGCCCCAAACAAACCAGGACGCTATAATAACAGAACCCATGGACAGAGACGTTGGTGAAATGTCAGAGAAGGAGTTCAGAAGGTTCATGATTAAAATGATCTGTGAAATAAAGAATGACCTAAATGAGCAAATATGGACAAAAATTGACCACTTCAACAAAGAGATAAGACAGCAAATAAAGGTAGCAAAAGATTACTTCAAGAAAGAGATAGAGACTCAGAAAAAAATCAGTCAGAAATCCTTGAAATGAAGGAAACAATAATAATAAATAAAAAACTCATAGAAAGCATAACTATCAGACTAGGTCACTTGGAAGAAAGAACAATTAGATAATAAAGACAAAATATACAATCTGGAAAATAAAGTTGATTACACAATGAAGATAGTAAGAAACTATGAACAGAACATCCAAGAATTATGGGACAGCATCAAAAGACCAAATATAAGAGTTATTGGGATAGAGGAAGGCACAGAATTTCAAATCAAAGAAATGTACAATCTCTTCAATGAGATAATATAAAAAAAAATTTCCCAAGCATGAAGGATGAATTGGAAAACTAAATCCAAGAGACTTACAGGACACCAAATGTACAAAGTTTCAATAGATCTACACCAAGGCACATTAAAATGAAAAAGCCTGGAATACAGAATAAGGATAGAATCTTAAAAGCAGCAGGAGAGTGGAATCAGATCACATATAGGGGGAGACCAATTCATATCTCAGAAGAATTTTTAACCCAGACCCTCAAAGCCTGGAGATCATGGAACAAATATACCAAGCTCTGAAAGAAAATGGATGCCAACCACTAGTCTTGGTTGGCAAAATGCAGCTTTAGATGTGGTGATGAAATAAAAACCTTCCATGATAAACAAAAGTTAAAAGAATTTACAACTAGAAAACCTGCACTACAGAACATCTTCAGCAAAATATTCCACAAAGAGGAAATGAAAAACAATAATGAAAATCAAAGAAAGAAAACTTCAAACCAATATCTCTAATGAACATAGATGCAAAAATTCTCAATAAAATTCGGGCAAATTAAATACAAAAACATATCAAAAAGACAGTACACCACAATCAAGTGGGGTTCATTCCAGGGATGGGTCAACATATGGAAATCAATAAATGTAATTCATCACATCAATAGACTTAAAGATGAGAACCATATGATCATTTCAATAGATGCAGAAAAAGCATCTGACAAAATGCACCTGACAGCACCCCTTCATGTTCAAAACACTAGAAAAACTAGGGATAACAGGAACATATCTCAACATCATAAAAGCTATCTATGCTAAGCCCCAGGCCAACATCATTCAAAATGGAGAAAAATTGAAAGCATTTCCTTTAAAAGCTGGAACAAGACAGGGATATCCTCTTTCACCACTTCTATTTAACATAGTTCTTGAAACACTGGCCAGAGCAATTATACAGATGAAAGAAATTAAAGGGATATGGATAGGTGAAGAAGAACTCAAATTAGCACTATTTGCTGATGATATGATTCTATACCTAGAAGACCCAAAAATTCCACCAGAAAACTTCTAGAACTAATGAATGAATTCAGCAAAGTAGCAGCATACAAATTCAACACCCATAAATCAAAGGCATTTCTGTATATCAGTGACAAATCCTCTGAAAAGGAAATGAGGAAAACTACGCCATTTAAAATAACATAAAAAATTAAATACTTGAAAATCAAGGAAAGAAGTGAAATACCTCTACTTTAATGCTAAAGTAAGAAATTAAAGAACTTAGAAGATGGAAAGATCTCCCTTGTTGTTAGATAAGCAGAATTAATATTGTCAAAATGATCATACTACCAAAGCACTATACAGATTTTATGCAATTCCAATCAAAAATCCCAATGGCATTCCTCACAGAAATAGAAAAAGCAATCATGAAATTCATCTGGAAAAATAAGAGACCCGGAATAGCTAAAGCAATCTTTAGCAAGAAGAGTGAAGCAGGTGGTATCACTATACCAGATCTTAAACTATACTACAGAACAATAGTAAGAAAAACAGCATGGTATTGGCACCAAAACAGACTGGTAGACCAATGATACAGAATAAAGGACACAGAGACTAACCCTCATAATTACGGTTATCCTATATTTGACAAAGGTGCCAAAAATGTACATTGGAGAAAAAAATGACCTCTTCAATAAATGGTGCTGGGAAAATTGGAAATCCGTATGCAACAAAATGAAATGAAACCCCTATCTCTCACCATACACAAAACTCAACTCAACGTGGATCAAGGACCTAGGAATTAAACCAGAAATGCTGAGTCAATTAGAAGAAAAAGTAGGCCCAAATTTCCATCATGTCAGATTAGGCCCCAACTTCCTTAATAAGATTCCTGTAGCACAAGAATTAATATCAAGAATCAGTAAATGGGATGGATTCAAACTATAAAGCTTCATCTCAGCAAAAGAAATAATCAGTAAGGTAAATAGAGAGCCTACTATGCGGCTCTTATCACAAATTCTTACCACATGCACGTCAGATAGAGCACTAATCTCTAGGACATATAAAGAACTCAAAATCATAACACCAAAGAAACAAATAACCCAATCAATAAGTGAGCCAAGGAACTGAACAGACACTTCTCAGAAGAAGATCAACAAATATATGAAATCAACAAATATATGAAAAAATGTTCAACATCTCTAGCAATTAGAGAAATGCAAATCAAAACTACTCTAAGATTTCATTTGACTCCAGTCAGAATGGCAGCAATTAAGAATACAAACAGTTAACTCAAAATGGATCAAGGAGCTTGATATCAAAACAGAGACACGGCGTCTGATAGAAGAAAAAGTTGGCTATGATCTACATACCGTGGGGTCGGGCTCCAAATTCCTCAATAGGACACCCATAGCACAAGAGTTAACAACTAGAATCAACAAATGGGACTTACTCAAACTAAAAAGTTTTTT